GGCGGGCCGACCGCGCTCTCTAAGTTAGCGCAGGCGTATACCCAGAAAAAAAAAATGATTTTCTATCGCGCCCGCCCGCCCGCCTCTTGCTCCTCCCTCTCTCCCCTCCGCGTGCGTTTTAAGCGCGCGCGCGCCGGCTCCATGCGTTCGCAGCCTGGTTGTGTCCCGGAGTCGGAAGATTCCCCGCAGACGCGGACGGGCCTTTTTTCAAAAGGCCTTGTTGGGGGGGCTCGGCGTCCGCGCGCGTGCGCAGTGGATAGGCCCGGTGGAGGGTCAGTATCCGAGGAGCGGAGCTCGGGGGGGAGCCGGGGGCGGCGGGGCGCGCTCCTGGGCCTGGCCCGGCGGGAGGGAGAGGCGCTCGGCCGGCGCCTGTCAAACGCTGGGGCGGGAGGAGACCGGATGCAGGAATGACAGCGGCGCCGGGGGCTGGCCCTTGACAGGGTTGGGAGCCGCTGGCGGCCCTTTTCCCCACGTTTCCCGCAAGACCCCGTCCCCGCAGTCCGCAGACTACAACGCCCATCATTCCCGGCCGGGCCGGCTGCCTGCCTGGGGATGTGGGGGTTGTAGTCCGTCCCTGGACCTTCGGGGACGAGGCGGCTGCCATGCACGTCCTCATCGGGGGCGCTTGCCTTTCGGTTCCCTCCCTCCCCGATCTTTTGGGGGGCCGCGCGGACCGGGCGGGCGGTTGCAGACGAGCGGGGCGGACTCGGAGCTCGGCCCTTCGCCTGGGTTCGCACGACGCGTTCCGCCAGGCCGGGGCAAGACATCGCGGCGGCTGCCGGCCGGCACAGCCGGGTCACCTGCTTGGGGGCCGAGCCGGTTGCGCCACCCCGTCCTTTCGGGGAAGGGTCTGGCTCCGTGCACGACCCGAAGCCGGGAATGGGTTTGTTGGGTACCTGGGTGAAGCTGGTCGTGGGAAGGCCGCCCTGGAGTCGACCTCTTGAAAAACCTCCAGGAGGCTTTGCGCTGGCGCCCCTGAAACGTGGGGCTGCACTAAGACCGCATCAGGGTGCGGCTCTGATCATCGCGTTGGAGGGGTCCGAGAGGGATGGAGGGGGTGAGGCGGTGGGGGAAGGTGCCCCCCCAGCTCTCCTGCTGGGCTTTGCCTGAGGGACACTAATTTGCCTCTTTGTCATAGCTTGACATCCTGATCGCTTCGGACAGCGTTTCTTAAACTCTCTTCTCTCAGGACTCCTTCTCACTTTTAATAATTTTAATTTTTTTTGGTGTGCCTTCGAGTCATCGTAGATTCCTGGCGACTGCCTGGACTAATCCCTGCAGTTTTCTTGGCCATAGTTCAGAAGCGGCTTGCCCTGGCCTCCTCCTTCCCAGGGCTGAGAGACAGGGACTGGCCTGAGGTCACCCAGCTGGCTTTGTGCCTAAGGCGGGACTAGAACTCACAGCCTCCCGGTTTCTAGCCTGGTGCCTTAACCACTACCCCAGACTGGCTTTCTTTAAAAATTATGAAGGATCCCAAAAGAGTTTTTGTTTGTATGGGTTATATTGATCGATACTGATCATATGAAACCTTAAAATTGATGCCTTCGCTGCCGCAACCGCTCCTCAAGATTGCTTGATGGGATTTTAACCTTGTATTCTTTTTCAACATAGGTTGGCAAATAATTTTGATTTTGCTGACCCCTGAGAGGGTTTTGGGCGACCCCAGGGGTCCTTGGACCACACTTTAAGAAACACCGGCTGAGGAGGATAACGTGGGGGAGGGAAACATGGATGAATTCTGCCGCTCAGCAACTGTGATGCAAATTAGTGTTGCACTTAGTGTTAATGCAATTAATTATGCTCAGTATTTTTCTCGTGTCTTCTCATTCTTTTCCTTTGCCCCCCCTCCAAGAAATGTGTCTCTAATTACAACCTTGGTTTCAGTGAGATAGCCTAACTTGCATTCCAACCTTATTCCCAAATTCCTTTGTGGTTAGCGGTTGCTAAGCCATTGGATTTGGCTCAAGAGTGACATGAAATGTCTTCCTTCCTTTCTCTCGCTTTCTCTCTCTTTTTGGTTCTAACTTTTGTAAGGGTTTTGTTCTCTCTTCGCCATCCCAAAAGCTTCTGTCTTGTTCTTGAATAATTTTTCTTCTTATTGTTACAAAAAAAAAAAAAAAAAAGGAGGGTAACTCTCTCAAA